CCTCCGGGGCAGGCGGGGATTGAACTCATGCGGAAGTGGCTTTAGTTTCTCAGTGCAGTGCTTTAACCCGCTGCGCCACCAGGGAGGGCCCCAAAACTGGGTTACTTTTTAATAAAAGTATCACTAAAGACAATTTCTATTTTTCCATCTATAACATAGGGACTGCTTATGATTATATGATTGTAGAAGATGTTCTTTGTCTTTAAATAAAACTGGTATTACTGTTATTTTCATTTAATTTTCAATATAAAAACAAAGAAAATTTAATGCCTCTCTATAAAAGTGATTTGTCCTACAAATAAAAAGTATAATCCATAGATATATCTATATATTATTGTATAATTTAATTGTTCCAGAAATAGTAAGTTAAGTCTGAAAGAAAAATAATTCATAACATATTCAGTACACCATTATTAAAGTGAAACTCTCTACATCAGGTTATAAAACAACTGAATGCTTCTCCCCCTCAATGCAAAGAACAAACAATACACAGCAGCAATTATGATATGTTTTTATTCATAGCTTAAATTTACATTGCTGTCATAAGAAATATTAAATAGAAAACGTTCCAGGAAAACTATGACACAAAGGTAACTGTGCCCACTTTCTATGCCTTTGTATAATTTCTTTGTCTCCTGAGTTCGTGTAAAGTCAATGTATGAGATGGCACTTCCATGACTGTGTCAGGAAAGACTTAATCAATCCAGCCCTTTTAAAAGCAATTGTCCTCCAGTCGGTTGCAGAAGAGGTTAGCTACTCAAAGCAGGAGAAGGACTGAACTTGTTACTTTAGCTTCAGGATGAAGAGGGCCACCTGGGAAGGGAAAGGGGTGGCCTCTGGGAAATCCGCGTGATGGCTGACTCACAGCCAAGAAGAGAAGACCTCAGTCCTACAATCCTAAGGAACTGAATTTTGCTAACACAAGTGACCTTGAAGCAGATTTTTCTCAGAGTATCCAGATGAAAACTCAACCTAGTTAACACCTTTAATCCAGTTTGTGAATAACCTGAACACAGACCAAATCATACTGGGCTTTTTACCTACAGAGCAAACAAACTAATATAATATCTAAGTATGAATATAAAAAACCCTACCACCCCCAAGATAATTCACCAATATTCTTTCCAATTTGTTATTTTCAACTTTTCATGAAGTATTGATATTTGTATGTTTGTTATTACATCTGCCAATCATTGTTAAAAATTATACAGTTCAAACCATTAGTCCTGAAGTTTCAGGGACTGAAACCAGTTTTGACTTTTAAAATTTATAGTGCCTTTTGGGGCATCAGCCTTAATCCATTTTTCATGTTTGCTTGCTTGATTCATGAGGCCTGAAACACAAAATTACATAAAGTTATATCTTAACTGGTAAGCAATACTTAACTACAGACCCTATACTTAACTATAGACCTTTAACAACACATGTCTCAAAATGAAAAACAGTTTGGGACAGCAAAAGTATTTTTTTGGGTATGCAGGTGTTAAAAAGAGTTTTAGGTACAAGTGATAAACTACATACATTTAAAGTATGCAATGTAATGAGCTTTAAATCATATCAAAATGTTAATTCATTTCCTCAATCAAAACAATGAACAAATCTGTCATTCACAAAAATTTTGTTGAGTCTCTTAGAAATCTTTCTCTCTTGCCTCTCCTTGCCTGCCATCTACATCTTTTCCCCTACCCCTTTAAATCATTTTGTATCACAACCCATATTAGTTGCAATTCGACATTTTAATAATCTGAATCACAGTTATGTTTTTTTTTAATTTATTTATCATACAGAATTGGGGTACAGGCCAGAGGTGCAGGGGTGGTGAAAGGATTCACCAGAGACAGAGTGGAGAGCAGAACAGGCAGATCAACAAAGTACACTGCTGAGGGGAGCAGGTCAGGAGAGGTCTGCCACGCGCCATGTGGATCACCTCCAGGCCGGTATCAAACTTGCCCTGAAGCGGCTGCAGCTAGCTTGCAGTGCTGTGCTCTAACTTGTTGTGCCACCAGGGAGGCCCACAGCTATGTTCTATTAAAAACAAAGTCTAGGTTCTTTTACCCAGTGTGATCATTTTGAGGCTCACGCGCAAAGCATGCAGGAGTCAGTAGTTCCTCACACACATGCTGATCTAGGTACACTGCTGGATGTTCATGGTACTCTTGCGGCTGCCTCTTCTCTAGAACTCTCCTTGCGAAACTCTTAACAGCAGTAAATTCCTAGATGCTCAGCTCAATTTCCTTTATTGGGGAATCTGCCCTGGATTCTGGAAACTTACAAGGTACTAAGGCATGTCATCACGGAGCTTACCTGGTTCATTTCCATCTCTATTCTTCTAGTACTATGTTTTTTCATTCAATCAAGGGAAAGATGACATTATACTTGCTATGAACCATCATTGCAGTTCTGGGTTTAAGAAACCAATCAAAACTGAACTGAGGAGAGTAGTGAATACACTGCTTCATGTTATAAATATTTTCTTTGTTCAATCCAAACACAAATCAAGAAATAATCCTTTTCTTCAGAATGATTCTTCTTCCTTTGTTAAAAGTACCATATGATAGTCTCAGCTGATGAAAAAGTACCATCCAGTCTTTGTGCCAAGCGGTTTTTAAAATGAAATTAATAATCATTTAGGTGAATAAATTAAAATAAATGTTCACAAATCACAGCCTTTCTTCAGAAGTACAGATGCATGGACCAATCAGGCATCCTTTGTGACAAACTAAATACAGCTGACTTCTGGTTGTGCCAGGAAAGCAGGTTTGCCTGTAGTTGTGATATCATAAATCTGTGATAATATTCATAAGTGCCTTTTGGATACAAATTCTCTGAATTATTGTGTCCCCTCATCTATGTAATAGAGTTTACAGCAACTTTTTCAAAGCACAGCTTACTTTTTAATGACTTTCTCTGGAATTTTTCCTCTACTTTTGTAATTTCAATTATCATGATGATCCCATTTTCATTAAACTGGTTAAAGTCACTCTCATGATAACTGATAAATCTCCATAAGCTTCTCAGGTTTTACTCTAACTTTTCGTCAAGAGACTCAGCTTTGTCCACTTTAATTTGCTCTTTTTGTGCCTGTGTTGCATTTGGTTGATCAAGATTTTGAGGTTATTTGCGCCCAACATTTCTCTATAATACATGTTATTTTTCTAATAATTCAAATAAACATAAAGGAAACATCTGGAAATACTGAATGTTGGTTGTTCTAACTTTATTTTTTAAACAATATTTAGAATCAGGAATAAAGTATTTATAGTGAAGATTTCCCCAAACATCTATCTTCAACATATTATTCACTACTGCCCATGTCATGTGATTCTTGCTTAATGAGAGAAGCCAGCCTACCCACTTCTTTCTGCAATAGTAGAAGCCATACTTAGTATTACTCCTAATAACAAAATGAATCACAAGTGATTTTTGCTCAGATACCAAACCAAAAATCAAGATTAAAATGCCATTTAAATTGCTTGAAAATAGCCTTCTCTATCCTGCTTATAAGTAATTTACTGAACACTCTTAAACATGCGATGAATCTTGTGGAGACTATTTTAATTTTAAGGTAAATCCTTCCTACATAAATCTTGCAGTGCATATGGGAACTTGAGGCTCCAGAAACCTCACTGCTTTAATTACTTTTGGCAATGAAAATTTGAGTTGTTTTTTTATTTTTTAACCAACAAATGGAAATGACTATTCTATTCCTATACAGCATGGCCTACATTAAGTGCAAGAGAGATTCTACCAGGAATGTTTTCAAATTCTGACATTTTCCCTTAAATCTGCCCTGTCCAACTCTACCCAAATATAGTCTCCAAGTTCCTTTTATTTATCCTGATCCAATTAACACTAACTTTGGACAAAGACAGGACTCAAGGAGTAATCTGCAGAATTTACTTCTCTTATGTAAAAATAGGGTTAAAACCTTCTTGGATAAGATGAGCTTATCCTACCCCCCAGCTCCACCCCTCTCCACTCCCACTCCAGAGCTAAAAGAGACTGATTTATGCCTGGCTCAGAGGGGTAATTTTGCTGCTGCGTTAGTAGTAGCTGGTGAAATTTCAGTGCATCATAGCAGAGGACTCTTGTTTTTACGTTGTAAACACTACTGACCGCCCACTACGGGAGGCACAATGCTAAGTATTTTAGAGTGGTTCAGAAACCTTAAACAAAAAAACAAAACAAAACAAAAAAAACAGGCTAATACCATTTTTTAAATTGCCAATTGGCTACAGAATTAATGATAATAATGATATACTTAAGAAAACATAAAAATAATTGCTTTGAAATTTGAAATTTTAAACACATCTATTTCACAAAAACACTGATACAACACAATTTTACGAGCTAAATATTTAAATTTTGATAACATTCTTTAACCATTTAGTCTTTCCCTTGACAAAAGACGTCCTGACAACAAATTTTTACTGACAAAAGAAAATTTTTTTGAGCTATTTTTAATGATGTCCACCATATTATTATTTTCTCGCCTGGTTCTTTATACTCCTGCAATGAATGAGACCATTCGGTATTTTTCCTTTTCTTTCTGGCTTATTTCACTAAGTATGATCTTTTCCAGCTTTTCTCTCAATTACGCAAAATAGTAACAAGATCAATAGTAGTCTAAAAATTGATCAAATGTACAATTAATTGAGTTTTCCCAAGAAATATTCTTGCAAAAACTTAATCTTCCTCATTTTTTTGATCTCATTATCAACTACATTTTTTTGTTTCAGACATTGTAGTTTTAATTTTAAATTCAATTTTGTTTTTTAAAAATACCTCCATGTCAGCTTCCCTACGACCCAGCAATCCCACTCCTAGGTATCTATCCAAAAGACACAAAAACACTGATTGAAAAAGATACTTGTACCCCCATGTTTATTGCTGCTTTATTTACAATTGGAAAAACATGGAAGCAGCCCAAATGCCCAAAAGTAGATGACTGTCTTAAAAAGATGTGGTACATGTATACAATGGAATATTACTCAGCAACCAAAAAAGAGAAACACATGTCTTTTGCAGCAACTTGGATGGAGCTGGAAAAGATCATGCTTAGTGAGATAAGCCAGAAAGAGAAAGAAAAATACCAGATGGTTTCACTCATAGCAGGAGTATAATGGACCAGGCGAGAAAATAACAAAAATAATGAACAACCATATACCAGAGACATTCTGTGGGGGCGGAGTGGGGAATGGGATCAAAAACGGGGTGGGGGGGGAAGGGAGGGAAATGCACGGGACTATGGTGGTGGCACAGGGGTGATTTGGTGATTGGAAACCCGCGGGGATTACAATCGAGATGGAAAAAAAAATGTGCAAAATGATGTAAAAATAAACTTTGTAATAAAAAAAAAAATACCCTCCATGTCTTTATTTAACTTTCTGAACATGTGCAATAGTTATAACTTTTATTTTCCTTCCCTGTTAATTCTAACATCTGTGTCAGTTCTGGGTTAAGTTTCAACAGACCAATCATTATGTTCATATTTTCTGGCTTCTTTGCATATCTGATATTTTTGTTTGAATGACAGACACTGTAAATTTTTTTATTGTTGGGTGCTAGTTTTTTTTTTTTTAAAGATTTATTTATTTATGCATACAGAACTGGGGTATAGGCCAGAGGTGTGGGGTCGGTGAGAGGCTTCACCCGAGACAGAGTGTAGAGCAGAACAGGCAGAGGAACAAAGAACACTGCTGAGGGGAGCAGCGGGCAGGTCAGGAGAGGTCTGCCAGGCCATGTGGATCACCTCCCAGGGCAGGGATTGAATTCATGCTGAATTGGCTTTAGCTTCTTAGTGCTGTGCTTTAACCCGCTGCGCCATCAGGGAGGTCCTGGGTACTAGATATTTTTGACTCCTGTAAATCTTGAGCTTTGCTCAGGAATGCAGCTAAGTGACTTGGAAACAGGTTAAGTTTTTTACCTCTTCTTTTATAACTTGCTAGGCTATTATGAAGAAGTATTCAGCCTAGAGTTGTTTGCAGCTCAGTAATCTAACTCAGCCATGAGTTATTAAGTTTTCCAGCCTGACAAGGTGACAAAGGCATTATTCCTGCCCTGTATAAAGACTAAGTTCCAATTCTTCTGGTACTGTTTGTCCTATGAACTCTAGCTGTGCTGATTGCCATGGATTCTCACAGTATTTCAGGGAGTCCGCTGGGCACTGCATTCATTTCCTTTCCTTTTAATACAGCCTAGAAACTCTCCAGACTGTGAACAAGGAGTTATTTTGTTTAGATCTCTGTAATCTCTTTCTTTGCCAGATATCTGGTGCCTTGAAATTTTTTTCATATATTTTGTTTAAAATATTGTATTGACACTTTAGGTGGGAAAGTAAGTCAGTACCTTTTTCCCACTTTTTTGCCTAAAAGTTTTCATTTTTCTTTCTCTTCCTCCCTCTTCATCTGTCACTCTCTTTCTCTGACTTCTCTTTCTGCTCATTCTCTTTCTCTAACTTCTTGCTTCAAAATAAAGATGTACAAGAAGTTGCAAAACAGAACAAAGGGGGCCTGTGTACCCATCACCCAGTGCCCTGATGGGGCCATACAATTCCACTGCATTATCAGATCCAGACAACTGTTTGGTAAAGCACAATTAGACTCATAGATCTTATTCAGATTTCACCACTTTTTGCACACATTCACTTTGTTTTGTGTACACCTTTATGTTTTACCACATGTAGATATCTTTATAATCAAGATACAAAACTGTTCTATCACTACAAAGGAAGTCCCTTCTGCTGTAATTATATAAGCTTTTTTTTTTTAATTTAAGAAATCCAGGCCAAAACAAGTGAAGTCACATCTTTAAATCTATTTTCTCTCTTCACAAAATATTTGAAATAACTGCTATAATTCTGTGAATTAAAATGTATTTTACTGGATTCCCTATAAATATAATTTAAGTCTATAGTAAAAAATAACAAAATACAATGGAAAGAAAACTAATATTTATTGCCTATTTTAATTTTTCTTTAACTGTCAAACAAGAATTTAAAATCAGAAATCTGAATATTCTTCTGGCTCAATCATACCATTCTCCTTTAACCTTACTTTTTCTTTTTTCTTTTTGGTCCTCCATATTCACTGAGCTTATTCAATTCTAGATTTTCAATATGATTGATTATTTTCCCACTACCGTCTACTCCTTTGACACTTTCTTCTACCTATGTCCCCCTTAAACACAGAAACCTCACTTAGGTTACTAGTGTCCAATAGTTTCTAATAGTTTTGCTCTGTCAGGTCATCTGCTTTGATTCCTCATTTCATTCATATATGTGAAACCATATGCTATTTGCTTCAATATTTTCTGAATAATGAAAATAAATACCAATCAAAAATAAACCAAAAAACCCTAAGGCATTTACAAACAATTCATTTGCTCTAAATCATGGCCTCTATTATGAGGGGCCTGCAAATTATAGCCCACAAGTCAAACCTGGTTTATAAGAGTTATGAATTACTTTTACATCTTTAAAGATTATAAAAACAAAAGAATATACAACAGAAATTATATGTAGACTGTAAAGTCTAACATATTTACTCTCTGGCCTTATGAAGTTTGCAGATGAACAAAAACAAAACCTGGTCTTTAAGCAGATAACCATAAACCTAATAGCATTCCTCATTCTGTTAACTGGACTTGTTCCATGTGGCCCTGAAACACATCTACATGTGTTTTAAGCTTGGAGAAAACCAAAAGTCATGGTATTCTATAAAATTTATTTCTGTAAGTCATATTATCCAAACACTACATTTCTCTTTCCCACCCCCAATTTGCATAGTGATACTGTCTCTAGATTTTAAGAGTGGCATCCTGTGGGCTTAGTCCCAATTTAACCTTTTCTACTCCTTGAATCAATGCTCCACTATAGATCACACCATTAGATGTAAATCTCTCTGGTTTAAAAACAAGCTGAGAATTCTATTCTGACACAGAGGCCTACTTAGATCCCAAATGAATTTATTTTTTATATGCTTTGGATTTCCAGTTTGACTAAAATAAACCCAGTAATATCACTTTCCATACTATGTAGAGAGTGACAAACAACTATCACTTGGCTGGCAACAAACATTATCTTAATACTCTCTAAACAACTGAGGAACCTGAAAACAAAAGGACTTCACCACATGCATTTCTGTGTTTGGAGACCACCATGCTATACACCAAAGCACGGTATCATATCTGAGTTGATAAACCAAGTCTAAAACCTAGTAGAGAAAGCAGCTTATTCTTAGAAATACCTTAACCTAAGCCATTTACCACCTGTTGAATCTGTCATCTATAGATTGACGCAAAACTTAGGATCAAGGCCTTGTAAGAATTCAAAAATGACCCCCCCACACCTCCAAATAAGACACACTGTGCAGTTTTGGGGGTAGGTAAATATTTTAGCCTGGGAGGCTTTTTACTTTTTTTTAACCTCTAAATAGCACAAAATACTTGTAAATCATTTTAAGAATTATATAACAGATAATTATTTTTCAGTGACAGCAACAGCAAGGGAAACCATGAAGCAGGAAATCAAAATTAAAGAATTGAATGTCAAACCCTGTGGGAAGCCTGAGCCCAAGGGACTAAATTTTACTGGCACTGCTTCTTGCAGAAGTAATGCAGAAGTCATGCTACAGATACAATCCAGACCTCTTAGCAGTGGGGGTATTTCTGTTTTGCTGCCTCATAGGCTCTGTAAGGAAGGCCCAAATGAGCTGAGCTCAGCTGCCTGTAATAACAAGTCACATATAAAACTGCTCATTATTTCCAAAGTTGATTTTCAGATGAGAAATCTCCATAAAAAGTTGTGTTGATTTTCTAGGCCTCAAATTATTCCATCTACTTGATAAACAAACTGTGGCCTTATGGCCACCATCATTTTAAAATCAAAATATGAAAGTTTCTCAAAGCCCAATCATTTGTTCATATGGCTCTTTCCAAAAGAGGCTGCTTTGTCTTTATCTGAAGTCCTTCCTCATTAGTGTTACAACAGATTTAATCTAATATCAAAGACAACTTTACAGATTCAGCTAGGGCCCAACCTTGGTGAGTACATCATGTACAACTCCCAATAAACATCATACTGAAAAGGAAATTAACTTCGCTCTGCAACTTGGATTTTCTGATTTAGGAAGTAGGGGGTCAGAGTGTATGGCACAGTAACAGATAACACATACAGAATTCAATAGGCCAAGCTTCATAATAACCAACGAAGTAAGGATACATCGACTTCACAGCATTCATTCATCTATGTCTTCAAACAAAATATGTTGAAAGTCTAATCTGTCTGCTGAACTTCAAGTTACTATGGACCTTTGCCACTGAATTCTTTTTCTGAATTACTACAGTGACCTGCTAATTAGCTTTTCCTTCATTCACCATTGTCCTTTCCAATCTTTCCACACTCTACATTCAGTGATCTTTTCTAATACACAGATATGATTATGTAATTAAAACCTTTTTCTACCTCTGCAATGTACTTAATATAAAATCCAAATTGGCCTTTGTCTGACCTGAACCTTCCCAAACTCTCTTAGCAACTTCCCTCCTTACCCTCTACTCTAGCTACATTCAATTTCTCTCACTTCCTCAAACTAGAAGTACTTGTCTAATTTAGGTAAGCCACATCCATACTCTCCAAGTATCTTAACACATATCTTAACAAATTTAGTCTACTTTAGTGTATTCTGGTTTGAAAATGGTTGTTAGTCTTGTCTCATTAGGATATAAGCTCCTCAAATGGCAGAAAGACCGTATTTTATATTTGTACTCCTAGTTTCTAGCAGTGCTTAACTTTATAAATGTTTATTGACTGGTAAAAAGAGAAAAGCTATGCTTGAGAAAGATAATGTTTATTTGTAAGTTTGAGATGCTACTGGTACTAGCAGAATGAAAATGGACAAGAACTTAGTAATGAGACCAGCTCTACAGGTACTGATTTTATCCAATGACAGGACAGGTAAGTGTTCTTAAATGATTTAGTGAGGTATTTTTTTACTATGGTTAAAGTGATAAGAAAAGGTTTTAAAACTAAAGTCAAATATAAATTCGGTTTTAAATCTGGGTATATTATTCTACAAATAACATAAAAAATGATCAAAATAGCTTCAATTTACAATTTAAATATTATTAACATATGTAAAATAATTAGATTATGCTATCATGCAGGGCATAATTAAACACATTTGCATTTTAGCTTTACATTACTATTACCAAAAAAGTTAACTCTACTGACTCCTTATCAAACTCAAGAGATTTAATTATAAGTTCATTCTTTGTCCATTTAATAGATTTAAATTTCATCAGATTTTTCACTAAAGAGTTAACACTTTGTTGGGCACTGAGAGAGATCTGGGAGTGTATTTTATTTTCATTCCCATGATTCCTTTTGGTGGGAGGTGGTTAATGTCAATGTTTTTCACAGACTTTAAAGACATATAGCATAAGTATTTAAAACTGAAATGACCCTATGAAGACACCCTATTTATCACGATCTGCCCTCTCATACTTCTTAATTAAACCTTTATAAATACATGCATGTACACACTTAAATTTCATTGTCCTTCTCAATGTCATTCTGTTAGGACTAAAAGGATACTTTACCAGAATTTTTTTCACTATGTATATGTATTATCTATACAATAAATACATTTAAACTAGTTTCAGCCATTAATGCAGTCAGAGGTAATTAGGAATTACTAGATAAGCAATTCGAAGGAAAAATATATCAAACTCTACGTGACAATGGGAAGGAATAAATGACTAAAGCAGCAATTGGCGATAACATATTTCTATTACATATAGACAATGACATCTATAGACAATGACATCTTACATAGCAAGATGTTGCCTACTTACCAGTAATTGTTACACAATCATCTTTATGAACTTCAGTCATTTCTTGAACATGAACTTCAGAATTCACATCAACCTCTCTTCCTGTTAACTGTAAGTGAGCTTGAAGAGAGGATGCAACCTTGATAAGAATAGAGCCTATAATAAATTTAAAGAACTGATAAATGAAAAGAAATCAAAAGTGCCCAAGTCTATTATAGAAATGACCGAAAGGGTAGTATTGCTCCTCATACACTGCCTTACTCCTCAGCAGATTTTATTTAAAGAGCAATGTCTTTTCCTGACTCCAGGTAGTCAATTTTTTTTTTTTTAAGATTTATTTATTTGTGCATACAGAACTGGGGTACAGGCCAGAGGCTCAGGGGCGGTGAGAGGCTTCACCAGAGACAGAGTGGGGAGCAGAACAGGCAGATGGACGAAGTACACTGCTGAGGGGAGCAGCGGGTGGGTCAGGAGGGGTCTGCCACGCCATGTGGTCACCTCCGGGGCAGGTGGAAATCGAACTCATGCGGAAGTGGCTTAAGCTTATTAGTGCTGTGCTTTAACTCGCAGCGCCACCAGGGAGGGCCAGTCAATGTTTCTTTACTCCTAACATATTCACAACAACTTCTCTAGAGTATGAATCATTAGTACATTATGAACTATTTCTCCTTTTGTCAAGTCTAGACCCCTCAATTCAATACCAGAAAAGTTTTCTACCTATTAGTTTATAAGTAGGATTTACTATTAACTGAGTATTGAAGACACCTTAATAGAGACATAATAATGACATTATCATTCAATTTATAAATGAGAACTTGCGCAAGTTTCCACCAGAAGTTGTGCTGAAATCAGATCCAGTTTATTAACAAAGCCCATTTCTTACCCACTGTATATTAACACTGCTACCTCATCAAATTACAGGATTGTGATCATATTATACAACTAGAGCTGTGGAGAGGAACGTAGGGGGAAGAACATAACACTTTTAAAGGGAATATTCCAATTTCAATATTCTAAATGCTTCTTTTCAGTTTAGGTTTTTGCATACCTGAGGCAAGACACTCAATTTTTTTTGTCCCTACAATCTTATAATGGTTTAAGCTTCTAAAGGCAGAAATAAAAAATTCTCTGATAGTTATAGGATGACTTGTCAGAATAATTACATATAATTACATGGTATGCAACATAAATTCATAGAACACCCCACTTCTAATGTTCTCTTTTTTCATATATCAAACAAGTAAAAAGGTCTCTACAGAAAGCATTAAATAACCCCCCCCCCCAGACTAAGGGTGAGGATGACATCTGTTATAAATGCTGTAAGATGCCTTTTAGAATGCATTTATTTGCGGATCATGATTTGCCTTCTAGTTTGTTCAGTGTCAGTAAAATTCCTCTAAATAATTTCCTGTCTTCTGTCTTCCTAATTGGAGCTGGAAGTTTTGAGGTTAAAACTGATAAGCTCTCACATTTACTCCTCAAAAAAAAAAAAAAAAAAGTGGAAGGACAAAGCATGTAGCTATAGCTTGTTTTATTTTTGTTAATAAACTACTTTTCATGGTTTAAATGTAAACTGGTGATAGGAAATTTGGCACAACTACAGATATGAGGGCTTTAGAAAAAAAACAAAACAAAAACAACCCTGGAAATTTTTGGACTTAATAGAAAATAGATGTTTTTCTACCAGACTTTAAAACAACAGATTTTTAAAAACTTTTTTTCTAGGACTTTATCAGAATACATCAAACAATAATTTTATGAGCTTATTTTTTCTGTGCTTAAATGAGTAAAGGGATCTTAAATCTGTGATAGTTTCAAAAATATTATATAATACAAATATTTTACTCCCATCTCCTTTTATATCTTCAGAAAACTAAAAACTAGTACTACCAAAAAGTCTATTTGTGAATGAGGAATTATGAGGGCTTAAAAACTCAAGTGTTTTTCTTTTCTTTTCTTTTCTTTTTTTTATAAGAAAAGAGAGTTTTTGTTATGTCTTCCACCTCTTTTTACTTCATAAACTGCTTTATTGTTTTTGACATCTATAATTGTTTTTTAATGCAAAAGTGAAGTCAGTTAACAGCACCATGTTTGAAGGCATACTATGTTAAGGCTGGTATTTCCCTCAAGGACAATTTTGAGTGTGTGTGTGTGTGCGTGCGTGTGTATAGAGATTTTCTTTTTTTACATCATTGTTCATTTTTGTAGAATGTATGTTTTCTCCACTTAGGTATTGTCCTCAAGGGTATTTTTAAGTGGAAAGTCAGTACTTAGATGCAGGGCTGACACTCAAGTCTAAACAAAGCCTTTTGAATGAAATAGTGAGGTCACCACGTGAAACTTCAACAGAAGAGAAAACAAGTGCTATAACATTTCATTTTCTAATGGTAAAATGAGAAGACTTAAGAGACTGAAATAGCTGGCTCTGAAACCACAGCAAGAGAGTAGCAAAGTTGGAATGGATTTTGATGTCTACAACAAACCATTTAGCAATACAAAACTGAGTAATTTCCCATTCTTCTAAAAGAGGCTGTTTCCAAACAGCCTCTTAAAAGAGGCCTAACTACAGAATTTTTTGTCTACAGTTATCTTTAAAGTTCTGAAAGTAACATGGTACCAGCAGGAGAAAGCATAATCAAATTTTGTACCACCAAATGCTATTTCAGCAGATTACTAGAATAATAGTCTAAATGATGATCAAAAATATTTTTTTTTAAAGATTTATTTATTTGTACATACAGAACTGGGATACAGGCCAGAGGCTCAGGGGTGGTGAGAGGCTTCACCAGAGACAGAGTGGGGAGCAGAACAGGCAGATGGACGAAGTACACTGCTGAGGGGAGCAGCAGGCGGGCCAGGAGAGGTCTGCCACGCCATGTGGTCACCTCCGGGGCAGGTGGGAATCGAACTCATGCAGAAGTGGCTTTAGCTTCTCAGTGCTGTGCTTTAACCCACTGCACCACCAGGGAGGGCCCTGATGGTCAAAAATATTTTAAGTGGATGAAGCTCAACAATGTGTTTTGCTTGTTTTGTTTTGCTTTTGTGTCCATATACACAAAACAAGAAATAATTTCATGGAAGAGCTGACTATTTAAAACTCTATTATTGGTTACATCACTGATTACATTAAACAGAGTAATGATTTGTATTTTTTTTCTCTATGGGTCTTTGTAATAAGAGAATACAGTCACTAGATTTATATGCCATTTTTAAAATACATGAAAAGTATAACTGAACTCAGAAATACAGTAAAAACAATCATGGTATTTTAAAGAGAAAAAAATGATCTAGAGAAATCAAATCACATCTATGTGCCAGCAATAATTTCAAATCAGACATGTGTCTCTTGTAGTTCTTTTAATATTCTGTTAAGAAAGCCTAGTTGAACAAACAAATAAATAAATAAAATAAAATCACCATGGCAATGATTGGTCTCTGAAAGTATTTTTCTTGTTATGTATAAATCCCTGTCCTGGCAATATGCAAGAACTTCTAAAGTTGCATTTCATTTTTCTACCCATAGCTTCAGTCAACTTTCTGCACTCAAATCATTTCAGTCCCTATAGCCACGCTACTCCAGTTACTCAAGTCATTTGCCACCGTTCACATATGGCACGCATAAAATACACACACACTCATATTCAGTCTTCATATAATACTGAGAGGTTTGGATTCCTGGAACAGGTTACTTGTATTAGATACTGAATTATAGAAAGAGACACATAATTAAGTCCTGATATTTCAAGAAATTAAATCAATAATCACTTAAGGGACCTGACGATGCCTTTATTTCAGGATCACACTCCAAAAACTATTCCTCTAGAGTCATGGCTTCAGGAGGGTCTCCTATAGACTGGTAGGAAAGTTTCCAAGGAATGTATAGGAGCATTTTGTCTCCAAAGGATATTCTGTTTTGGACATGAAACTAAACTGAAAACTCCAAGGACTAAGATTTAAAAATTGCACAATTAATAGTCACTGTAATACAATTATTTCTTTTTGTACTATAAGGGCAAAAATTAGTTTACTTGGCTATCTGACCCAAAAGTTTTAAAGATAACTGTTCTAAAAAGCTAGACTTCCAGTCTTTAAATAAGGTGTTATCAGAGGGAATTAATTTTCTTGAAATCATGTCAGTATAGGTAAGAAAATTTGACCATCTGTTGTTTCCTGAATGATAGATAAAACCTTATACACTATGTCAAAATAAAACATTCCATTTTACTAACCTTGATGAGATTTCAATTCTACTTTCCCAAGTTGGCTGACATAAACATCTATGGCACCCTGATGAGCTGAGGCTTTTAGACATCCAGAGGATGAATCTAGAAGAAAGGAAAAACTGTAAGTATCATCATTCTTATTTGAGTAATTGGAATTATAAACTTAAAATACACAGTTTTGCTTCAACATTAGAACAACTAAGAGCCTTGCAAGATTTTGCATTTTCTTCTTTGACTATGCCATCTACTGCTTTAAAGTGAAAACAATCAGAAATCTAGAATTTACTCTAGACATCTAATAAAAAAACCCTATGTCTATAGTAGTCTGCATAACTTATCTCTAAACAAGTGCATTCTAAAACCTAATGGTTGGAAAGGACAGGACAGAAGAAATAGATCCTGACAGTCAAGACCGTTAAGCATCGTTGATATATTTCATTTAATTTCAATATTAACCTAAGAAATCTCTCTCAATTGTAGCTAGACACATACAGTAACTTATAAAAATCAAAATGTCTTACAATTTCCCCTTGTAGTAAATTTGTTACTACTGAGAAGCATTGTTTACTATGAAAGATTACTTCTGATAAGCTATGTTATAATGCTCAGGGAAAGAGAGAAATAGAAGGGGGGAGGAATTATATGAAAAGTGAATGAAGTTTGTTTAATATTTAATTTTTTCCCCCTAAAGTTTCAGGAATTAAACAGATACCTTTACTCTTTATTGAATTCTTACCATACTATCAGAAACTGTGCCAAAGTGCTTTATCCATATTATCTCACTTAATCTATAATACAACACTATATGATAAGGTACTTAGTGTTATCTGTATTTTCTAGATGTGGCAACTGAGGAACAAAGAATTTAGCTAATTTCCAAGTACAGAAAGTACTGAAATCAGAATTCTACTTCTACTTTGATGACCCTAAACCTATATAATATTTACAATACGGTGAACCAATGAACTTCAAGAAATATTTCACATATTTATACAGTGGGTCAGACTATACAACCTGCACATCAGGATTCTATCAGGTTTAGTAGCTAAATGATAGACACTATTTACACTAATAAAATATCACAAATAAAGCTATTTTAAAAGCATGCAAAACTGCCAATTATCAGATTAGCACATACCTACTGTGATGTTACCTGTCTTGCTTTCTAATGTTATATTTCCTGTAAGAGAGAAAAAGAAAGATATTAGTGACAATCTAGAAAGGAATTACACTTGATGTTAGCCAAAAAGTCGAGAAGCAATCTAGAAAGGAATTATATGGTGTCCTAAAACATGGTTGGACTGCCACATTATTTTAAAATGCTGTTGTTTTTAAGCTCTGACAGCATAACTACAAAATAGTCACCATCCTTTCTGGAAAAACCTGGAATACAAATGATACTTCTAAAATCCATAAATGACTTAAATGTATTCATTTACTGTTTAATACTTAAACATCAATGTATTTATCAGACCACACAAAGTTAAGTCTTTAAACACCACTAGAATAATCTATGGGAAAAAGTATTTGCTGTTATTTTCCAGACCAGCATGCCTATTGATTTGTTAAGGTGGTTTCTGAGCCAAGAGTTAAAACAGTCTGGAATAATGAATTTATTGAATAGTGAATTTATTGAAGAATGACTAACAAAGAAAAAGTTTCAAAAGTTTCCATATTTCAATGAAAATATATTTTCCAGGACAAGCATAGGGGTATTTCAGCCATTCCAGGTCTCTTCCCCCAATGCCAAAAATCAGATTTTCCTTAAGATGTATGCTAGTATGTACAATTGCGATTGGAACCATACTGTCCATATTTACTAAACTAAAAACTGTAAGCAGTATTACTTCTTTTACCATAATTTAAAAACTATACTAAAAATTAAAGGAATAGCTTTTCTCTCAGAACTAATAATATAGGGTACGTGAACTCATTTACTTTATATCATGCATTAATGATATCAATACCTGGGAGAAAAGTAAAAAGAGCACCTGACTCATTTAACAGTCAGATGTGCTTTGATTGTAAAAGTCTTATTCCATCATATTCATGTGAGTATATGAACAAGGGGAACTAGTTCTGAAATAATATTTGCCTTGTGTACAGGAGTTAAGCTCATAAAATCCTTTTCAAGTCTCAGTAAGTTACATGGTTGTAAAGTTCCTGCTGAATGTGTTTTTGTAACTACTATTTTATTGGTGTTTTCTATATATGTTCTTGCATTTTTCAAACCCAGTAAATATAGATTCACGATTACATGCCAATAGTATTCAAAGACCACAGTTTCTAAGATGGCTTCCAAAAAACTCCTGCCTCTAGGTCTTCACACCTAGAATTTATAATTTCTTACCTTCATGTGTAGATTATACTTAACGATTTGCTTTTAACAAAGGGAGTAGGACAAAAATGATGAAATATTACTTCTAAGATTAGGTTGTGAAAAGATCCTGGTTTTTGTCTTGTTAGGCCTCTTTTGCTCTGAGGCTAGCCATGCTGTCAAACACCTTATTAAGAAAGAAGTTCACTAGCAAGAAACTTAAACCAATCTCCAGTGATCTGAACCGAATCCTGACACATCCACAAGAGTATGCTAAAAGTTGAAAGACATCAGATCTCTGGTTAAAACTTAGAGTATGCAGCCCTAGATGACTCTTTGATTACAGCCTGATGAGAGACCTTAAGATAGAGTACATACTTCATAAGCATGTGACCACATTCCTGACTTATCCAAACTGCAAGAAAATAAATGTTGATAGTTTTCAGAGAATTTGGAGGATAATTTGTTACACAGAAAGAGGTAACTACTACAGATTTTTAAAGCTGTTAAGTGGGAGCTGCCATAACAACATAACAAAAAAAAAAAAGTATAAACTTTGAAATTTAGCAATGGGCAGAGGTTAGAATTTTGAAAAGCATCTTAGAGAAAAACTGCATTGCCTTGAACAGACTGTTAATAGAAAGAAAGCTATACTTAGAATATGTGTTTCCCATGAGGGTTCAAAAGGAAGTGAGGAAATGTTTTTGGAGTTGAAAGAAGAAGGATCCTTGTTATTTAGCAGTAGAACCTTAGCAATATTATCACCCTCAGTAATATGGAAAGCAGGAAATTGTCTAATGAGTGGAATGACCTAAGAATATTTCCAAGCAAAGTTGGAGTGTCATATTTTTTTCTTGCCGTTTATAGTAAATGCAAGGGGGAAAAGCCTCAAAAACTAGAGAAAGAACTAGTAAATAAAAAAGGAGCCAGCACATGAATGATTTTGAAAGTTCTGAGCCTCTCCAAGTGGTAAAAGATGCTGAAATTAAGAATGGCTTCCAACTCAAAAAGTTCTTTCAAAAAGCCCTCAAGAAAGCTTGAATCTCAAGATTTCTGTAGTCTCCATATTTTTGAAGGGCCTTTTGCATGTGTTTTGTCTAGTGGAATACATTCCAAAATGACTCAGAGGAGGCTAATAAAACTTTGTAGAGAATTGTATCAACAAACACACAGCCAACTTGGACTGAAAGGGTCAATGACAGTACAAATTGAAGAGACCACTGGACTCCCACTTTCTACTGGCTGGAAGGGGAGAAAACTACTTTGTTGCAAACACACATTTCATAAAAAGGGAAGGATTGCAGAGAAGAACCAAGGTGATGGAAAGAGGAGAGCTTACAAAAGTTTAAGAAAAGAGCAATTATAAAATGTCAAAGACTGCCAGTAACACCCAATATTTGTGGGGCTTCTCCTTTCTTAGAATGCTGCTAAAATCTGTATCTCAGCCTCTTGTAGTTAGATAAAGCTATTTAAAAATATGCTTGCAGATGTACCACAAAGCCATAATAATCAAAACTGCATGGTACTGGAATAAGAATAGACATACAGA